AAGGTTCGCACACTTATGCAGGTCGGACAACAGATAGTGCTGGCTATGTCTTTGGAAAGTCTTAATATTGACGTTTGTTGTCTATCCGAGACCCGTATTCAAGACTCTGGTGAAGTACTACAAATTCGCTCTCCACCTATCACTTCAAAAAACTTGTTTTACGTGCGTTTATCCGACGACCTTGTGGCATCTTCGTCTGGTCTTGCTGGCGTTGGTGTCGTACTAAGCGCTAGAGCTGAGGCAGCACTAGTTGACTGGATCCCCATTAACAGTCGGTTATGTGCTGTTAGATTAGAAAGTTCCATCAAAGTGAGGAGAAACCGGCGTGAGAAACGATGTCTTTTCGTCATCTCCGCCTATGCCCCGACAGATTGCAGCCCGGATGCAATCAAGGATGAATTCTACCACCAGTTAACTGTTCTTCTCAAGAAAGTGCGTTCGACAGATATTGTAGTACTAGCCGGAGACTTGAATGATCAGGTCGAGCGTCTAGGCACAGAAGAGAGTCGTTTAGGTGGCCGATGGGGACTTGTTGGTCTCAGGACAGATAACGGGGAACGTCTACTGCAACTATGCACAGACCACAACCTGTTTCTGGCTAGCACTAACTTTCGGCACAGTCATCGCCGATGTGCCACCTGTCGTCCCCCTTCTGCATCTCAAGCCTGGACTCAAATTGATCACATCGCGATCAGCTACCGCTGGCGTGGTTGTTTACGAGACTGCCGCTCCTTTTGGAGTACCTATCTGGAATCTGATCATGCTCTGGTCTGCGCCAATCTTACCTTACTTTTCAGTGGCCAACGAAGTGACCGCCACCAAAGGATTGATGTTAGCAAGCTGGTTGCAACTTCTGTTGTTAGTAAGTACCGAACCGAGCTAGCTTCTAGGCTAGCTACCCTTCCACCGAAAAGTATAGATGAGCATTGGTTGCGATTGCATGACGCCATGAAAATGGCGGGTAACGTCTGTTGTGGGTTCGCGAAACGTCCCGCTTTCAAGCACTGGGTTTCTTCTGGTTCCTTACAACTCATTGAAGCCCGTCGGTCTATTTCGGGTGACCGTGAGTTTGACCACAAACGAAGGATGTTACGTAATGAAATCGGGCAAAGCTTGCGTAAGGATCGAGAAGCCTAGTGGTCGGAGCGTGCTAATGAGCTGGAAGCAGCAGCTGCATCTGGTAATTACCGGAAGCTCTTCCAACTCATCTGAGCCACTGGCAGCAAGAAGTCTGGTGTGAGTGAAACAATCTGCGAGGATGACGGAATGCCAATCACTAACATCCATCGACGTCTTGGACGATGGGCAGAATTTTTCGAAGGGCAGTTCAACTGGCCTGCTGCTCCAGCAACATCGGTCAGACTGCCTATCCTCCATGACCGATGACGACTGATCCACCAAATGAGGCGGAAGTCCGCAAGGAACTCCAACTCTTGAAACGCTACAAATCAACGGGCCCGGACGACCTTCCTCCGGCTCTTTTTAAAGATGGTGGTGACTTTCTGACTAAGGGACTTACGACGTTGTTTACAAAGATCTGGGAACTAGAGAGTGTACCAACGTCATGGAATGAGTCGATAGTTGTCCCTATCTTTAAAAAGGGTTCACGTTGTTCCTGTAACAACTATCGGGGGATAAATCTCTGGGATTGTCTATTGAAGAAGGGTATACCTGAGAAGTTCATTAACATTCTAAAAGCCCTATATACAAACACCTCATGCAGAGTGAGGGCATACAACCACCTTTCTCCATTATTCCATTCGAGCAGTCGAGTTAGGCAGGGTTGCCCAATCTCACCATTCCTCTTCAACTTTGCCATCGATGACATTCTGGAAACAGCTCTGATGGATGTAAGTAATGGTGGTGTGGATCTGTTACCTGGAGAAAGACTTCTCGACCTTGAGTATGCGGATGATATTGTTTTATTGTGCGAGAATGCCCAAGCTATGCAATCCGCACTTAATCAGTTGGCAATCAGTGTCCGTAGGTATGGTATGTGCTTTGCACCCTTGAAGTGCAAAGTACTTCTACAAGACTGGCAGGATTCTAATCCTGTACTCACTCTGGATGGTGAGCAGATAGAAGTAGTCGAGAAGTTCGTGTATCTGGGTAGCTGCATAAGTGCTGGTGGTGGTGTGAGTGATGAGATCAATGCACGTATAGTGAAAGCCAGAGCGGCTTATGCCAATCTGGGCCATCTTTGGCGCCTTCGTGATGTTAGTCTGGCTGCAAAAGATCGGATCTACAACGCGTCAGTGAGAGCAGTTTCGCTCTATACAGTGGCTAGAGACGTTATCAGATATGGCTCAGAATAGAAGCCAGTGGCGATCCTGCTGTATCCTTCTTTTAATTTCTTCGTAAAGAGTGGTTGCTTCTTCCTTAACTTTAAGATTTCCTCTGATTGTACCTTTTCGTTTCCCTCATTTTTGTTCTTTTTTTTATGATTCCCTACGTTCCTTACATATTTTTTACTTCTCTTTGAATTCTTATAGCTTTGTGTGGCGCATATATATTTTGTGCCCCCCTGTACCAATATTTATGTGTTCAAATAAATAAAGAAACAATGGTCTTGAGTGCTGTTAGAGGTTAGAGGGCGGTCATCACTTCCCGGTTGCCTACACCGTGGAAGGGTTCTTCTGGAAGTACCTGAAAAGGAAATTGGATTAGAGGTGGTCACAGTGACCTGAGAGCGTGACCGCAGTGCCCAAGGGACAGCTGCTTGAGGTCGGTCACACACGACTCATTTATGAGTAGTTTTTGTGTTAGCTCCGTACTTGTTGAGACCTTACCGCTGGAGACGGATATCCGTGGGCTAAGGCGAGGTGTGCATTTTTAGGGTCGACCTTTTCTAACCCCACCCCTCCTTGTGGGAAGGCAGCATCGCTGTTATGCTGGTTGTCTGAAGGAAACACCTTACTGCTGTCACACCTCTGTACAGTCAGCAGTACTATTTCGCCTTCGACCTTGGGTTTGTTGCTTTTAGTCTTACTGCTCTTCAACCGAGCTGTCTGGCATGGTAGGACCTTGAGGAAAGGTTGTTCCAGCCAGTATAGCTCAGTTGCTTCATCACGATAGGCAAGCCCGACCACCACGTCAAGGTAGCAACAACGGTCAGGACTTATGGCTATGTTTGAAGAGATTACGAGTTCGCCTAATATGAGGACGGAGCGAAGACTCTGTGATACAATAACAGATAAGCTAAGCTATTCTGACGCGTTTCAGCCCAGCTAACTAGAGAAATAAGTCCAAGTTCGGAATAGGGAAATATATTCCGCAGGCAGCCAAAAGCACGAACAACCGCGACAAGTTTAGTCGAAATTACACTCATATATATATTGATTCATACACCCATTTTTGATTAATAATTACAATAAAATCACATATATGAAAAATACTTAGTTATAACAAATCATATGCTTAGTATAGTTCATGTTAACTTAATACAAGAATATCGTATGTCATACAGAATAAAATGTCATAGGGGAGAACGAAACAAATACTGTACTGAGTAATCACATTGAATTAAAACGGAATTAATGTTGAACAAAAATCATAGTGAGTGAATCAATCTAATTTTGACTTTTCATCCCTTCATATCACTTATTTACGTCTGTTACCCATTGTGGAACATATGTCACCAACCAGAAATCTCCAACCTACTCTGTCTTGGACTCTCCTTCCCAATTGTTGACGCAATATGTCCTTTGGTTTGCCCGACCACCACGTCAAGGTAGCAACAATGGTCGGGGATGATTCGGTCACGTATTATGTATTCCTGAACACCGATTACCACGACGTGCAATGCTAACTAGTGTTGGTTATGGTTGCGAGAAAGTTAGGGGCAGCCAAACCAAAACGTGGCATAAGTGCTTGAAGTCACTAACTTCTAGTCTGAGCCATGTTGGTAGATGCAGACTAATTGGTTGTATTCCGCGTGACTATAATAACCAATGTTTGGAGACTCTTGGTGACATGGCTCAGAATCGATCGCAATGGCCTAGGTGTATGTACTCATTGTCTGCCCTTAAACGGTGAGATTAAAACTACTTTATGCTTTTCTTTTTCCGAACTAATTCTTTCTCCCTGTATCATAATCTTATATGCTATCTTTTTTCATATATTACTACCAGTGAAGTAACTAATTCTATGAATTTGGTGTTCATCTTGCTGTGCTAATGCGGTATGGCAACTTAGGTCGATGCATATACGTGCCTGGTCCTACGTTGTAGGTGACTGACTGACTGACATTAATGTCCAAAGGAATTGTAACGAAACTAACTACGAAGTATATGTAACAAAACATCCCACAAGGAAAGTATTTCCCCTATTAAAAATGAGGGTATAAAACTAATAATCAAAATGAAATCACACCTTCGAAAGCGTGGAAAATCTGCGCAAGTAGGGTTTGAGCCGGATAATCGAGAAAGATAGTGTTTTCGAACATTTTTGGTAAAATGTTGTGACAAAATAACTCTTCTGATATACTGTTAAACACATTTTCTGTATATGGTCTGAAGAACACTTTGATTGTTTCGTTTTTCACCCAGTTTTCATATTGTTACTGCCATCGTTTCAATTTTAAACTTGAGTTTAGATTAAATTAGTGAGATCAAGTACTATCAAATAATCCAATTAAAAGCGAAGCTTATGGATTGTGACAATGGGTTCTTAAATAGTGGGTAGCAGGTTCAAACCCTACCTCATTCTTCCAGGTTGAGGTGCCATGTAGTCCACATTATATTACATAGAACTATACTTGGTTAATTAGTTATTGGACGAATATTTGTTGAGTTACTTTCAATCACATCTTAAAGACATGTTAGAATTTGTCTCTGTGTTACAGTTTTATCCATACCACCTTTGCTAAATGGATAGTGAAGTGTTGATCGACTGTCGTTTTCATAGCCAGATTTTATTCGTCTATAACTTTTCGTATTTTTCCTTCCTCATATACTGTAGAAATCCGTTTTTTAATTCATTGTTTACTATGTTTTATAAAGCCTGATGCTAAGCGCTCACGAAAATTCGCTTCAACTCATTCTCCGACTGCTTTGACATCTGCAATAACTGTTTCATCACCTATTATATCGAGTATATCGTTGACAGATACTGATAGTTCACCTGGCAATCTGGGATTTTCTTCATGCACACTTAATAGGTCGAAATCTTATTCTTGTAATCCTGTAAATACTCCTAGTTCCCTGCCGATAGTTCGTCTTAGAGAACGACAGCGTAATCCACTGCATGAAGTAGTTTCCTCCAGTAACAGTAGCGTGAGTCTCCTAATTTTTATTTCTTTGGTACAATATAGCCCTGTGTAGTCATCAGTATAAGTTTTTTGATAATTGGTTATTTTTTATGTGTTAATATTTCGTTGATTGTTCTGTATGCTTCATAAGTAATTAGTGTTTGTGATATAGATGGACTTGTAGCCAGTAGCGAAATTCAGCACGCTCACTTTGTTCTACTTGGAACTCGTCAGCTGGATATACCTGCATTCTACCAGTGTTGGTGTTCAAATAATGATATTAATATCCTGTGGACTAAGTAACTCAGTGAATGATAACACTTTGTTGTTTGATGGTAAAAGTAATAGGTTTGAGTCCTGGCGTGTACATCAACATTTTTCATGTACGTAAATCCAGCTAACGAGCTCCGAAGCATTAGCAGACCAAGTGTATAAAAGTCAGACCATCTAACAGAATAAAATATATACAAATATAAATAAGAGTGTATATGTGAATTATTCATTGCGTATATCTACAACCAATAAGAGAATATATGAAAGGAGACACTGAATATGCATACATTTGCGCGTACGTTGGAATACACATAACTGATCAAATGCTGAGTTACAGTAAGCAATCACTAGAAATACAATTACATTTTTTCATCTGCCCATAGAAAGGTAGTTTTTATGTTCATATAGTTGAAAGGAGTTTCCTACTATATATATATATATATATATATATATATATATATATATATATATATATATATATATATATATATAATGTCAACGAAACTGATCAAGATTCAGTCAAGATAATCAACAATGGGTTAGTTTGAATCCTTCGTAGTAATGATACAAATAGTGTTTTTGTCAGACAGTGAGTGTAAAACTGCCTTAAGAGTGAAGGAAGTAAAGTCTCTTTTTATTCATTTATTTTATAAACGGGAGTGTATTTTCTCTAGTGTTTGGATTCCTTGTTTATTCGGTAATTTTAGCAATTAATCGCTTGTCCACAATTATTCTACTATCCAGAAACGATGAAATACTCTGAACAATTATTCCATCGTATTTCCTTTTTTTCATCATATTTTCCTTAATATATTTCGCTTCGAAACTAGATTTTAAAATCAACCTATTCCACTGAATCTCCGTCATGCTCTGTAACTAATAGTATGAACAAACAAAAACCACTGAGTAACTGTGAACAAAGGATTCTTAAAAGTGTAAGTTTTATCTCAACGATTTTTTTTTCGTTTCACAGTATCCTTTTGTGTGATCGCTAACTGTTTAGTGGATTGTTATTAGCCATAAATATATTCTCTAACCCATGTATTTTTCTGTACATTATGGAAACTTATATTTAGTAATTCTGTTCCATACTATTGTTTTGTTGATCTCTGTCTGCCTTAAATTATTCTGCATATCACTTGATGTTTAATGGACTATGCTAGTATACAGCACACATCACTATGTAGTCTCCGTCGTTTAGCTTCTGTAAACACAATAAATAACAGCCCCTATTCGTAGTTGAACTAGGTGGTTGTTATAATGACAGGATTACACCATCCGCAAGTGTAGTTCTGTACGTTTGAAAACGTAGAATTTAGAATATTCTATGTCAGAAAAGTGTCTTCTGATTTATGATTTTCGATGTATTTCAGTTACTAGTTTAAGCTTTATTGTTGTTGTCTTAAATATTGACAGTTCATCTGTGTGAATGGAAGCTAAACAGAGCTTTTTTTTATCCTGGCTTACTTCTTTCAAATATCGCCTTTTACGTATTTTTGATGCTAAGCATTAGTATAATTTTCACCTTGTTGTCGATACTTGTGTTGAAAGTTTTGTATGATAAAAGTTATGTACTAATCTTTACATGTGAACTTCCATTACATCACATGCGAACTCAAATAAAATAGTTGTTATTAAAGAGCTGAAAGGTTATTTTCTGTACTTAGTTTAACAGTAAAGAAGTTATTGGCCTAATGTTTTCTCAATTTATTGTTAATTAATAGACAAAATTATTATTATCTGATTATATCAAGTTACCTTAGCTTACAGAATTACGTAAACAGTGTTTTTATTACACCCACCGATAATATACAATTTGTGTCGATACACAGATATGTATCACTAGTTTGTTGGCTTCATTTAGGATTTATGCATTTCACCTCCATATTTACCCTTCAAATTGTATCCTTCAGTTAACATTTGTTATGGAACGTTTTTATATTGAATTTATGTCAAATCGAAAGTGTGGCGACGTTCGATAATGCACTATTTCTTATATTTTCATTCTGTAGTACATTGATTCAATTAATGAAATTCGCCGAATTCCAGTGAACATAGACAATTTTTCGGAATTAAGGAGAAGTTTTAAGTTGTAAAGAAAATTAATTTATTTTATATCCTAATTGATATTCTGTATATTTCCTATTTATAATCTCTTTTTTTCGAAAAGACTATTTTTCTATTGGACATAAATATAAATGATAACAGTAATGATTATTAATTATCATTGCTCATACGTCTACTTGTCTTTTCTAATACAAAACAATATATATATGATTGGGGAATGGTGGTAGTGTTCAGACTCTTGTGCCTTCTCATTGTTTTCATGGTTGTAATACATGGAATCTACAACACATGGTCACAGATTTATCAGTGTTTATTGTCCGCTAGTGATTGAGTTCAACTAGTTACAATGTTAGTGCGAACTTGGGAGCTACATTTTCAGTCAAAAAGCATAAGTTACATCAATTCGGCTGTTGAATTAAACGCAGGACTAGCAGAGTAGGGTCATGTAAATACATCATATTTTCAAATACAACAGTATGGTTTGGATTTTCGAATAAGTAAGGCTTAAAAAAGTGTAGATAGTGATCCCTTACCATTTTTATACAAGACCAAAAGACTGAATCAATTCTATGACCTGTTTTAACCCGATTTTTTGTAGTGGCAATTTGTAAATATTAGTCGTCGATTATTTCTAGCATTTCAATCATTAAGATCATGAGTCAGTTGAAGCGAGACCACCATGGAAAACCTGGAAGCACTGGACGACCGTTCCGTCCTATTGTGGGACTCCTCAGCAGTGCGCATCCACGACCTCACCCCCTGCGAGATTCGAACACAGGACCTACTGGTTTCGCGCGCAAGCACTTAACCACTAGACCACTGAGCCGGCATCCGACGGTGTTAATGTCTAACTTCAACTAATCCACGAAATTGAGCGACACATCCACCATTGTCTTCAGTGAGTTTCTATCCCACAACAGACCTGGTTGAACTCCACTGGTCACTAATTCTCACTAGAACTCCAGGATATACCTCTTGAAGCCAGTCACTAGTGAGCATATGTTGATTATTATCAGAAGGGGTTTTTGGAGATTGTAGCGATTTCAATCATTAAGATCATGAATATTGGAATTTATTCGTTCTTACAGTTATTCTTGTACAAATTTACCCACCCTTACTCTTTCCTGTTCTCAATCTATTCATGTAACAATGAGTGTGGTGCTAATAATTGTATAATGTTTAAGATCTTGTTGAGAGATGGATTTTGTTTTGCCAATATTAATGGGAATCTAGTTGGTAAAACTATTTGTGGGAAAAATTTCTTTCACTGTATGAAAATAAAGTATTTTTTGAGTATTCTCCGTTTTTATATTTGATTTATTATTAAAAATTCCATAAATCTGTCACAAACGAAATAATCAGTGGTATTTATTAAGTTGGTAGTTAACGTTTCTAGTGCATGTGGATAATTTCTGTAGCTTTTCGTTCTCTTAATGGCAAAGTTTAGTTACTGTTTTTTGGACATCATTAGTATGATCTTGATGCAGGAATATGACGTTTCAATTACTTCAATGACACTAGGTAGGTACATGTGTCGGAAAGTATCGTTGAGTTAACCATCGTATGATGAGTTTTAAAAAGATTGAGTGTTAAAATCAACGTAAATACCTTTGATATGGGAAATAGTTGACGTTTTCGTTTTCCAATTAATCTTTATCGGTTTAACTGATTTTTCCTGGTTAGCGTTATTTCAGCAAGGTTTTTTTAAAAGGTGAAGTTGCTAATCCCATGCCCAACTTTCCTTCGTTATCTGGAGTTTCATTTTTCAATAATGAATACAAATTAATTTGTAACCATAAAATTCTACCTAACCTCAGTCGTTGATTCTTGGGCGATTGATATTGTCTACTCATTAGTAGGCAAAATATGGAGAGAGAAATAATTTCAATAAAGACATCATAGCATCTCATTTTCAAATATATATATATGTTTGGTCAGTTTTGCCTATCTATCAGGTAAAATTCCACCGATGCTTTTATACATTTCATATAGCAGTCATATCCATTAAGATTCTTAACCTTTTTTTTTTTTTTTAATAATCCACCTCATTTAAACAAAGTAGGATAATTAGTCCATTAGAATAATGTTCTAAACAAATAACAAACTGTGAATAACATTGGTATGACATACATTTGAAGTCTTATTTTTTTCATTTACAGAACAAATAAAAATTATTATATATATATATTATATATATATATATATATATATGTTTGAAATTAATAACAACCTATTTGTTTTAATGATATGGAAACTTGAAACGCATGTCTTTATAATTACGAATAGAATAATAATTGAAGGTTTGGATAAGGTTGTGCTGTTTAAGTAAACCTTAGTTATGAATTTAGCTGTCTCAACGTATGTACTTTGTATTTTTACTGAGTGGAAATTGAATATTTCAAGTTGATTATTAAATACGGTATTTCTGTTTTGTAAATATATACACTGTGACAGTTAATATTACAATCTAACCTAGTTTAGGTGGATTTTTTTGTTACAGTACAACGAATAATTGTCAAAACAGGAGCATAAACTTCATGCCTTGTGTGAAAGTTGTGTCGATGATGTTAATTCGAAGAGATTTGAAAGCGAACTTGATTAAATTCAGTTAATTAAAGTATTTCTTACTTTTACGCAATGAATATGATTGGCATTGTATGAAATACAATCATTTCCAACTGTTTTATCAATTTCTTGACAATTTATTTGCGTGTGAATAATTTACTGTTAATTAGTTTGGAGAATCGTCTTTTCTATACACGTTGGAATGAGTGAAGTATGAAAATTTCAGTAGCGTTACGTTGAACATAATGCAGCGAACGAATACTGGGTGGGCGAAACCGATTTATTGTTTTAAGCATAATCAAACAGTAGTTTCGTAAATTATATTATATGCATTAAATACATCATTGGCATATCTTCCTTTAGCTTTTTTTCATACTTCATCACTCTCCTTATCTTGTTGCTCTCCCTATTGCTACTCGTTTTCCTTCCTCTTCTTATTTCACTGTTCCGCTGGTAAGCATTCTATTTTCAATTCTTACTACATACTACTTTCGTTTGTTCCCATACGTCGTGCAGAACACAATAGCTTCAGATCACAATAAGCTGTTACATTACATAATGAGCAAGAGACATATAGCGAAGTTAAAATGAAGTAATCATGTGTACTGAGTAAGTTATAACCAGATATGTTTCGGACATGTTCTGTAAACTTATTTAAGATAGTAAGAAAGTACAAAACTCTGTTTCTAGGAATTAACATAAAGTAACTCGGGCATTTATATTATACTGACTTGCTGCAAGAAAACTGATTCAACACTAGGTCATTTGGCATTGATATGAAACATATTTCTAAATTGCTGACTCGAAAGGAAATTCACGTATCCAGACACTGATAATGAATGTAAAAAATTGTGTGAAAATCAGCAATAGTTCGCATAATTATTTAGACGAAATAACGGAGATATTAGGCATTACGACTCCGAAAATTTTGAAAATTCATTAGTTCAGTCAGTCTAAGCAGCGTAGAAATCGGAACATATAAGTATTAGTTCAACGGTTTACGCCATAATAGGACACCAAGTAAATGGTTTGTAAAACGTTGATGAATAACTTAGACCTACAATGTACGGTTAAAATAAATTTGAAGCAAAAGTAATATGTTGTTTAAAATAAAAAATAAGTCTATTATTGACTAGAGATAAAAGCCATTTGTTGGACAAAATTACCTATTTGCAATGACAAATTGTATTGGTAATGAATATTTTTACAATCGGTGTGATAATTCTCCTTGTTTCTTTTTTCTCCAAGTTTATTTCACTGGATTATACTCCTTGAATAAGATCTTCAAACCATAATCTTTCCGATTACTGTTTATACTCGTACTACCTCTACCGCTGTGTGATTTGAATCAAAAACTACACCTCTGTACTTATGTGGTATGGCAACTCAAACTGATATACGTACGTACGAAGTTCTATGTTGTTACTGACTGACTTCGTCAACAAAAAATAGTGCAAAATGATGGAAAAGCACCTGTATTATTTTGTTTGGTGATTAATTTGAAGATTGAAAAAAATTGTCACAGATTAAATTTTCTTTCATTGAATTCATTCAAATAATGATTCCTTTCTTTATCTCGATTAAATTTACTTGCTTATAATTAAATTTTACTTTAATCTAATTTAGAATTCCAGTTTTAAATAAAGCTCATTGTATTATATTGAACTCAAATAAGGACAATAAGAGCACTCTGAAATTAAAGAAGTGCTCAAGTCATAGAAATAAGTTCTCTATTGGGTCTGTTTTAATGCTTCTAAAAAAATAACATAATGCAATGTGATGTTAAGTTACTTGCATCATGGTTTGAATCATATTTTGATCGATAGATGTTGATATGTACTAAGTTTAGGATAATACTATATTTCTTGAATTTATTGTGTCAATCATTGTTGATTTGCTTTATTAATCATGTCTCTGAAGAGGTTCCTTACAGCATTAATCCAAATAGTCCACGAATATCTGACTTTTTTAAAACCTATTTGGTCGTTTCATATTTCCTATGATCGCACTTAACAGTCTTCATCTACGTACAGATGGGAATATTCTTGTTCGCACCCCTCAGCATATCCCACGACGACCTGTTTTCAACAGGTCATCTGATTAATAGTGGACATAATGACGTTATTTCCTGGTCTATCAAACTAATAAATATGCAAACAACGTTGTATTTATTACTCTTAGACTATCTGTACTAAAAAATTGGAACCGAACTTGTATATTTTGAAGAATACAACTGTATATCTGACATCACCCATGTGACTTCCATTTTCAATATTCGTTTGAGGCACAACTTGTTTCGTGTTTTTAATTTATGAATTAATATTCTTTTATGTATCATTCTGATGGTCTATCTTCAACTAACTCATGATCTCAATCATTGAAATTACTATAATATCCACAAAAAACCCAGTCTGATATAATTTAATAGTTGATTGCTTCCTATGGGGTAAAATCAAATTTTCAGAATAGATGTGTTACACAAACAGAATCTTTATCAGATAACCACCATCAGTCAAGATAACTTCTAAACTAGTAATTTAAATTTACGACAGAAATGTATGTTTGATATTAGATAAAATGATTGAAATATAATTCTCATGTGTACTAAATATTAATTTGATTCGATAAGA